TCAGTAATTAACCAGCATTTACTGACAGTTTATTTCATCTCATCTCATCTCGCTTCATTTAATTTCATCTCAGTTGATTACAGATTCAAATAAGTCAACTTTACCTCATTTCTTTCCATATCGTATAACAGAGTATATGTATAAAAAATTGGCTGTACGTTTTGATACCTTCGCCTTTCCTGTTGGAAAAATGAAACTATTACTTGGAAAATTTACACTGTTATTATGTATAAGTATAATTATGGCAGAAGTAAGGAACACCGTCTTATATAGTTATAGTTGGAAGGCTCACCGAAATGGCGATTCAAAAAATTATCAACATACATTAAACTAGATAATAGAAGACACACATGCGGGCTCAATTTATTTCTAGAATGATACGTGTTTAATTATTTATAGAGCAAAGGCCCGTACCAATTAAAACTTTCAAAAATGTCAAGCTGCACAAATGTGGGTTTTTCTACATTAAATATATTCCTTTAATAATAATTCCTCAGAGCATTTCCCATGGAAGATAGGGTATAAAACAGAGAGAAAATTGAAGTCCCTCCGTAGACCCAGAGGCTCTAATCTCTCCGTGAGAACAGGACTATCGACCATCCAAACAGCCCGTTTCTATATGAAGTCAAATGGAAGTAGCTGGTATCTGGGAGCCCCGGCTCAGAGGTGAGAGCAGCCGTGCGATTCTGTAAGCGTTGTTTAACAAACTCGCACGTGAATTTGGTGTGAGTTTTCAAATTGGCATTCTGTAAATTTCATTGTAGTGCCGAATCTACACTAGCGCCCCTCGCGGGTGAATTGAACTAGCAAGCGTGAGTTTTTTTTACTAAAATGTATGAGTTGACGTTTGAAACGGCATTCTGTAGTGTAAATCACGTCGAANACATTTGCGTGTTAACGGCTATCCCTAGTAGTAGTATAAACAAACTTCGTTGTCACTTCACTTCGCTCGAGGCAGGGTAATTAAGATTAGTGTTTACAGAATGCCAATTCAAGGTCATTCTATTGCGAATGCGAAGTGATGGAGAATTTCGTAGTGAGATGCGAGTTCTTGTTTGACTTTTAGAGAATCGCAAGGCAGTACTCCAGGCGAAGCCAGAGCCCAAGCGCAAAATACCGCTTCGCTCTGTTGAGGACTCCCAATATTTTAGAGGCTAATTTGGCTTTACCTTCCAAATGACTCCGAAATTGGATATCGCTCGAAATATCGCCCCTCAGAATCCCTGTACTCGAGGAAAGCTGCAGGGGTACTCTTTGAAATTCTGGCGCCATGACAAAAGGGTCCTTCTTCGCAGTGAACGAGCGAACCTGTGTCTTCAATAGGTTGAACTGAACTAAATTCAGTTCACCCCACTTGGAGACCCGCCCCAGAGAGCTAGCTCTCCACTTCAAACCCAAGTTTTGATCGCCTCTCTCATACAACGCTTCGAGAGAGACTGATGGCCCAGAAATCGCGCATCCCCCATGCTATCATCCGCATAGCAATGCACGCCATCAATAGATAGCATGTCCTTGATATGCAGTATGAAAAGCGTGGGGGAGAGCACCGAACTTTTTGGAAATGTTTAAAATGAATGTAAATGTGTTTCATATCTGAGACATGTTGCATTTTTACTGGTGATTCGACGTCTTATACGACGTGAAGCACTAATGCGCTTCGGTTCGAAGGGTGGGGCAGACGTTATACTGTAAAAACGGAGATTTCAGAACTCATATCTCAAGGTAGGCTGGTGCATTTAGGTTGTTGATGTCTATGAACTCTGAAAACCACTTAAGACTACTTAAGAGAAAATCTTAATTATAACTTTACTAGCGACCCGCCCGCGCTTCGCTTCGGAAACTGTAATTTATTATTGATTTCTCCACTAATTATTGGATGTTATTATACATATAAACCTTCCTCTTCAATCACTCTATCTATTAAAAAAAATCGCATCAAAATCCGTTACGTAACTTTAAAGATTTAAGCATATATAGGGACAGACAGATATAGGGACGGAGAAAGCGACTTTGTTTTATACTATGTAGTGAAGACAGATCAAAATGGGGGACACGTGAGACTTGTTCGAAATGATCCCTTTTATCTGCGTTTTATCATTGACACCCTACAAAAACCATTGTGTCCATGAAAAGTATACAAAAATAGATAAAATCATTATAGAATATTGACTTTTGTTATAAATAGTTCGATTGTAAATTGAATTTCTATTTATTGAGCGAACAAAGGAGTTTCAAGTCGACGTGTAGGCGAACGGGGAAGTTTTGTTCGTATGCAAAGAGGGTACATGCAAATTTGTAAGGTAGGAAATACTTTATATGAATACTCGTTAAAATTCGACCTTTGTCGACAAGTAGCCTGCATAAACAGTCAAGAATTTGTGAGTTCCGCTTATCGTCAGCTGAACCGAGAAGTTGCTTATCCGTTTTCATCAACATTTTACATGATTTATACACTCAAGACGTGTGAAACTTTTTTTCACATTATAGATATTAGAAAAACAAACAAAATAGCGTGGAGTACTGGCACAAATCAGTAATAAGTCTATACACTACACGGTCAGCTGCTGCGAACTATAGGCGCCGCCATATTGGCCTTGGCTGCTTTGTCGAGCGCCTTTCACTTTATCCCTACTCCGCGGCCGACCGTCACGCGACATACAACACACAGACGAAAAAGTTTGAGACGATGTAATAAAAGTTTCACTTTAAGTGCACATAGCAGATTTTGGTTCGACAACGACGAAATTTAAAAATATCAAATTGCAAATGATCAAACCGTTACTCCGCTCCGCTGCCTCGCTCTGCTCCAGTGGACAGGCAGCCTAACGCCGGCAATACGTACAGCAATTTATTGTTATAATAAATAACCTGAGTGACTTAATAATGCTTCGTAAACATGACAATCGATTTGGACGTATCCTTTTGCGTGTTCCGAGATCACTAACGCGTATAAACGGCATTCGTTTGAACACCTCTATATGGTCCAGTGATCCGATTTTGAGGCAACAAGCGTGAAAATAACTCACTGAAAAAGTCAAATGTGACGCAAAATTTACACCTGAGATATTGCAAAAGTGTAGTATAAAATAAAGTATTCACATATTTGTCTGTTTCTTTGGTTATTTCTTCTAAGCCCCGCAACCGATTCTAAGACAGTTTTCGTTACCATTAAGAGCGATTAATGACGGATTGTGTGGTATATTTGGAATATACTATATATATACTACATGTATACTATACTTGAGACCGTAGAATTTATATTTCAAGGTGGGTGGCGCATCTACGTTGAAGATGTCTAAGAGCTCCAGTAACTACTTAACACCAGATGGGCTCGTCCACCCATCTAAGCAATGAAAAAAAATCAATAACGCGGATGGCCTATAGCGGTGCTGTGACAAAAAAAAACTGTTTTCGTGCGGATATTTGGCAAACACTTGCCAAGTTTTAAGAGAAAATATTGTCGCGAAAAGATGTGTTTGTTAATAAAATGGTTGTCGTGAAAGAGGCAACAGATAGGCCTTGTAATATACTTTCCGAGTAATGTGAAGAGTTTTACTGTTGTTGAGGCCTCTTGTGAGCCCATACGAGACCACCAAGCCATTTCTGCCATGAAGCAGTAATGCGTTTCGGTTTGAGGGATGAGGCAGCAGTAGGACTGTAAAAACTGAGACTCAGAATTTAGAACATAAGTATCCCTCAAGGTTTCTGGCTATCAACTCAAATATTGTTACGCCGGTAAGAGTAACGCCATCTATCGTCGAATAGTCGAACGAATATCGAAGGATCTAATAGCACCAAAAACGCTCAAGAAGTACAACGCCATCTATTGTTAAATAGCGGAAACACAATACACGAAATGTGTGTAATAGTCTCGATAATCCTAGGGATGTGGTATCGGCTATAAAAGCGTTGCAGAGATGGCACGCAGTCAGTCAGTAATCGGAACTACTCGAAGCGATGCAGCTAACGGATCGCCTGAAGCGAAGCGGAAGAAGCGAATTAAAAAAATTTTAAGTGTTCTTAGTGTTGAATATAGTTTTTAGTTGTACTTTGGTGGAACATTTATTTATCCCGAACTCCAGCGCGTAACAATATTATTATTCGAATTTATATTGTAACTAGCGCCCCGCTCCGGCTCCGCTCGGGTCTTTAACAAAAATTGCAACGATATTTGGCGTTGTTTTATTTTTTTAAATAAAAGAACACTTATTGCGGCATAACTATAATAGTTAGACATAAAATGCTGTTGCGACACTTTTTATAAATAATAATGAGTTCTACAAAGTCGTAGTACATTATTTTATTCTATCATCAATAGTTTTCGCAGGGCACACGATGTAAAGAATATTTTAGGTAATTTTTTTACACCTTAGGGTTACATTATTGGCGTTTTAATAAGATCCCTATTTTTTTCAAAAATGTGACTTGGAAATTGTGTAGCTTCTAAACAGTGAAAGAATTTTTCAAATCGGTTCAGTAGTTTCGGAGCCTATTCAATATAGTATAGATTAATCAAGTATAGATTATTTTAAGTTCTATTCGAGGTATAAAGAAAATAATTATTCGGGTATACATTTTTTATTATGATCATTTAATGATAAAAAAAAGATATTCCAAAACAAATGAATGTACACTAAAAACAATACTCAACGAAATCGGTTGGCGTGATATTAAAGTTATTAAGTTATTTATCTATTTGTCGCGCACGTACTTAATTCAAATTTAAGGCTTATATGGTTTTCTCATGGACACCATTATCAGAACTGGACTAAATTGAAATGAGCCCACACGGAAAGCGTCAGCTTTCTAATAAAAAAAGAATCATCAAAATCGATTCATCTATATATATTTCAATTCACCAATATAGATTCACCTATATTTTTTTAAATCGGTTCAGTACTTTCGGAACCTATTCAATACAAACAAAAAAATCTTTCCTCTTTGTAATATTAAGTATACAAGTATAGATAAAATAAAAATAAACCCTTTTTCTCAACCAGGTCTCGCGGTGCCGTTCGTGGAATTGACTGTCACCCACGCTTCAGTACTGACGATACTGGCCATCAGCTTCGAGAGGTACTACGCGATCTGCGAACCGCTGAGAGCTGGTTACGTGTGCACGAAGACCAGGGCCACCCTCATATGCGGACTCGTTTGGTTCTTCGCGGCCCTATTCACCAGGTACGTTTGCGATTTTGTACACTTTTCATAGAGCAACGGCTCGTTTGACAAACACGAAGGCCACGGCATATAGCCTGGAATGGAAATGACGACTTTATTGCATCATATGAAGTGCTCAAAATCGACCAACAGCTTTTTTATTCTTTCTAAATTACGCTGCAAATATCAAATATGCAATATCAATAAGCAGCCGTAATTCGCGACGACGTATTGTTAACGCAGATAGCCACAACCGACCTATCTCAACCAGTCTTCGAGTTTGAATGAACCGTAATTGTACAATTCAATTGAACTTTCAACGTCATAGTTCAAAGTGAATGGCGTCGTTCACTTTGCGAGGTCAATGACCTTCGGTGATTACTTAAGCCCAGAGCCCCAAAGACCTGTGTTCAAGTAGTAAAAAAAGTTAAATAAGTAGTACAATGAAATGAAAAACAAAGTTGTTAGACTAACACCCACGTGATAATGTGTTTATAGAAATTATTTTAAGAACGCTACGTGCCAACAACAAGGTTATTAAAAACAATCAAACTAACAAAATCGATGGCTATTATATCATATAACGGAAGTGTATTTAATAAAATTTAATTAATATTAAATTAAAATAAAAGTGGTCGCAATTATGGATATAGAATGGAAGGTTTTAATTTTTGTTATTACCCTTATGTACCTGTTAGTACCCGTAAAAATGATTTGATTTAGGGGCGAAAATTAATCTTGTCTGAATACAAAATACCAAATGTTTTCCTTGTCAAAGTTATGTAATGTATTTTTTTTATATTATTGGATATATGGATATAAGATTATCTATTATCTTTCTTCTTAAAACAAAACACTATGTGATTCATCTAAAACAGAGTTTTATTTATTAAATACAGTTAAACTTTTACTTAACAAATATCAACTAATGAAATAACTATGTACTAACCTAAAACAGAGTATCGACAATTAAATGTTCATGCTTTACTGTTCTTATATTCAAATTTGAATCGTCCTTTTTACTTTTATAATTAAGCTAATTCACAAGGAGTTTTATTAAAAACTAGCGACCCGCCCTCGCTTCGCTTCGGAAACATTAAAACACACAAGAAACCAAAAAAAATTAATAAAAAATAATAAAAAAAAATTGCCTATGTTCATCAGGGATAATGTCGGCTTCTAATGGAAAAAGAATTTTTCAAATCGGTCCAGTAGTTTCGGAGCCTATTCGAAACAAACAAACAAACAAATCTTTCCTCTTTATAATATTAGTATAGATATAGATGGTTGAATGTTTTTCTGATACCTACCTACATACCCAAATATTAATGGTTCTGTCAGCGTCAACGCCAACACAAAGCTTACATGGATTTATATTATATTATTATTAATACTTTCTTCATTAACAAATGATTACTTTTCGTCGCTCTAAGCAATAAGACTGCAATAATTGTAACTTACAATTAAAGCATTTTCTAAAACTCAATTCTAAAATTTATACGAAAATCGCGTCTATATTTTCATTGTTCTATAGCAGTGATTCTCAACCTTTTTTTTTTTGTTGCGGCACATATTTAACGATTTCAAAATTTGGCGGCACACAAAAAAAAGATAAAAATTATTTACTTACTACAACACTCTGCATAAATAGTTTATCAAAAAATTTTAATATACGAAATAAACTAAAATATACTATAATTTTTTTTTTGTGGATTTAAATATATATTCGTATTTAAAATATTTTTCTTTTAAAATGATATAATTTAATAATATAAACATTATTATATATTCGCAAAATTTGTCGGCACACTTTTGAAATTTGGCGGCACACAAAAGTGCCGCGGAACAGTGGTTGAGAATCACTGGTCTATAGCATTAGTAGTTTTTTAACAACCTAATTATTATTATTTTTCAAAATTTAAATGGGACAAAAAATCGGTTTGCGTTCACCACTTTTGTAATTTTTTTATACTATGCTTGTGCCCCCCCGATCACGGAGCGTCTCCAGCCTCAGCAGCTGCGGGACATCGTCTCGGCGCTGTTACGACGACGCTGACTACGACGGCGAAGCCCCTGCTGAGGTGCCCCATATAACGGGGGCGGAGCTCCGTGTGGCCGTTCGCAAAATGTGCGCGAAGGACACTGCACCCGGCCCGGATGGTGTCCATGGCCGGGTTTGGGCCTTGGCTCTTGGTGCCCTAGGGGACCGACTCTTGAGACTTTACAACTCCTGCCTCGAGTCGGGACGGTTTCCTTCATCGTGGAGGACGGGCAGACTCGTGCTGTTGAGAAAGGAGGGGCGCCCGGCGGATACTGCCGCCGGGTACCGTCCCATCGTGTTGCTGGATGAGGTGGGCAAGCTGCTGGAACGCATTCTGGCAGCCCGCATCATCCAGCATCTAGTCGGGGTGGGACCCGATCTGTCGGCGGAGCAGTATGGCTTCCGAGAGGGCCGCTCAACGGTAGACGCGATCCTTCGCGTGCGG